CATCATTCAAGGTTGGTCAGTGCAATATTGCCAAATACTACTAACTGATATAATTCAAAGATAAAGCCATGTTAGTCTGTAGAATCAGTATGTAGAAAGATCTTGTAGCACCTTTGAGACTAACTGAAAGAAAGAAATTGGCAGCATGAGGTTTCGTGGACTTCAGCCTACTTCCAAATGCATCTGAGGAAGTAGACTGAAGCCCACGAAAGCTCATGCTGCCAATTCCTTTTTTTTCAGTTAGTCTTAAAGGTGCTACAAGATCTCTCCACATACTACTCACTGAATTTGTGCTTTAGCTAATGTGGAGGTTAAGCACTTCAGACAGTGCTGACAGTTGGCTTCTCTAGTGAGCCTAGTTTTTGTTTTTGTTGCTGCACGCCTGCAGGACATCGAAGAGAGCCAACAGTCTAAATACAAAATTCATTTATATTTCATATGCACCCTTTACACACATAGTCTGAAGGTAACTTTGTAAATAATATTTATTAATAATGTTGTGCATGAAACCAAGATTGTGTACATGGAACTATCAGAAAGCAAAGGTGTCAATATCTCGGGCACGATTTTGGATTTTGTCATAGTTCAGATTTTGGAATTTCGGATCAGGGAGACACAACCTATAATTCTCCTTGTTCTCCAAATACTTCTTTCATCAGAATTTAAGGCCATAAAAACTAGTGGGGCTCACCCCACTGTTGTAGATGGGGAAGGAGGACTTGGTAGATTTCTTTTTCTTATGTGTGTCTTATGGGTGCAGGAGGGCTGAGGCACTATCCTTTGCTCCATTTCTGGGCCAGAGAAAGCATCTCTCTCGCTTTTCCCCTGCCTCTCCCCTGAGCAGTTTTTGGGTTGCTGCGGAGTTCTAGTTTCCATAGTAACTGTCGGAGCTGTTTTTAAATCCCAATTCTGCATCTTCCTCCTGGCCTTCCTCCTCCTCCTCCTCCTCCTCCTCCTCTCTGGCTCATCTGTTCCTCCCGCACTCCTTTCTCCCCACACAGCGCCTATCCCTTTCTTCCCCACCAACCCTTGTCTCACCTGATCCGACCCTTCTCCTTTCAAGCTCAGAGGATGCTTCCATTTCGGCATTTTCCTTGCTCATTAGCTGTCATAAGCAAAGGAGGGTCCGCAGCATGGATGCAAGGCTTGCGCATCACTCGGCGTGCCAGAGCAACACGGATGGGGTGCTTTCCCACCGCTCTCCCATGCCATGCTTATGATACATACTACTAATAATAAACCATTCACAATGAGAGCGTTCTCACTTCCTTGGTTATTCAGAGCCTTTCCAAGGCCAGGCATTGAGAACAGGACTGTCGCAAGATGGGAGGCAGGACAGACCAATTTGGGTCTCAGCCATTATAAAAGAGGTTTCTGTGGGAAAACATTTCATAGGAATGGCAAAAGCAACCTTTACGTTAATACATTAGGGCCAGTGTGGTGTAGTGGTTTGAGCACTGGACTACGACTCTGGAGACCAGGGTTCGATTTCCTCCTTGGCCATGCAAACTCATTGGGTGACCTTAGGTGTGTCACACACTCTCAGCCCCAGAAAACCTGTGATAGGTTTGCCTTAGAGTCAACATAAGTTGGAAATGACTTGAAGACACACAACTGCAACTAAGTTTTAAAAAATCAACGAGAAAGTGTGTTGTGAAGCTTCTAAAAAAGCAAATCAATTTAAATTACCATATTTTTCACATTGGTAGAATTCAAAGATATAGCCATGTTAGTCTGTAGAATCAGTATGTAGAGAGATCTTGTAGCACCTTTGAGACTAACTGAAATAAAGAAGCTGGCAGTATGAGTTTTCGTAGACATCAGTCTACTTCCCCAGATGCACATTTTCCACATGCAAAGTAGTTGTGTAAACTAAGTAACAGTGGCTAGGAAGTAAATCCATATTATGCACTATAATGATTTGAACTGTTAATCAAGACTAATGTGCCATGATTTCTGGACAGACTTTGACATAAAAAATTCTCCATTTGAACTTTCAAAAGCCAAAATTACTAATTTTCCTTTTCTTTGCTGAAGCACCAAATGTCAGTATGGTGTCAGTACATGTGTCAAAGTTGAGAATGAATTTTCTCACACAGCTGTAGATGCACCAAAAGTAAGTGCTACAGCATACTAGTTGTACATGCATGGAAAAGCATGTACAATGTTTTTAGGAAGCTCGTATAGTATTAGTGTTGGGGTTTTGCGGAATTCCACCATATCTTTTTCTTTGGATTCCTGAACTGTTTTTCTCAGTGCTCAACTGTAATGCTAGAAATTTGGGGACTGGAGGAAAATTTCATTTGAGAATCAGAATTCTTTTTTGGGAGCAGATACATGCCCTCATTTGTTAACCTGTCACTACACCCCTGGTTGGAAGTTTTCAAGTGCAGGGTTGGAGTGTCAGGGTTGCTGTTGTTGCAGGATTCTTCCACTAGGTAGAGGTTTAGACGGCTTCAGTGGTTCCCAAACTTTGGTCCTCTAGATGTTTTAGACTTCACCTCCCAGAATTCTTGACTATTGGCCAAGCTAGCTGGGGCTTCTGGGAGCTGAAGTCCAAAACTCTTGGAGGACCAAAGTTTGGGAACCAATGGACTGGTTGATCTGTGAGATTCCCTCCAACTTTATGATTTCATGGTCCTCACAAGCTCTTCTGCAAGCCTTCTAGGTTGCATCTCTTTGGTTCTCATGGCATTGCTCAAATGTCGATTCACACGTTCCATGTGCCCACAGTTCCATGTTTATTTATTAACTTATTGGCTTATTTGGAAATAGGTTTTTGTGGATTTTTCGGGCTGTCAGGCCATGTTCTAGAAGAATTTCTTCCTGACGTTTCACCTGCATCTGTGGCTGGCATCTTCAGAGAATGGAGAATGAAGATGCCAGCCACAGATGCAGGTGAAACGTCAGGAAGAAATTCTTCTAGAACACTTCCTCACAGCCTGAAAAACCCACAAAAAACCATGGATGCCAGCTGTGAAAGCCTTTGACTTCACATTATTTGGAAATAGTTAATGGGCTTCTGGATTCCTCTATAGGCACAAAGGGTGTAGCTGTTTGCCTTCTGCCTTGGATTAGTTTGGGGTGGGGTGGGGATGAGGAGAGAAATTGAAATACTTAACTAGCAGAGCTTAGGAAAGTCATATTTTTTACAGTGACTCCCTAGCTTACCTTGCCAGAAACAAGACTGTTTTTCCCCCGATAGTAAGAGCAGATGTAAGTGCATTAGATAGATAGTGAGAAATTACAAGGCTGTTGCTTTCAAACAATTCTGCAATTACATTACAAAAGGAAGAATCCGTTCCAGCTAGCTGTGATATGGAGGTTTTGGGGGGGGAACACACAGATTAATCTGAGGATATATATTGGGAGATAAAATACAGCATTTCTCTATATTCAGGGCTCACCACAGGGGAGCAAAATCCCCGACACTCCAGTGTTCAGTACATGGGAGATTGTCACAGAAGGCAATAGCTTTGTTGCTCTCCCAGCGTCTGGTGTTTGCCAATAACCATTATACTGGCTGAGGAATTCAGGAAGCTGAAAAGAATAATGTTTCCAAGCTCTGGAGAGGTGTGCTACACCTGAGCCTGGTTCCATTTAGTTATCATGGCCAGGGACAGGGATATTATCCATCACTTTGTCTAATTCTCAGGTAAAACTATTGAACCCCATGGTGATCTTGCAGCTATAGCTGATTATATTAGCCTCTTCCAATTGGTGCCCTCCTGATAGACTGTACTTCAGGCCCCATCATCCCCATGTGGCACAGCTGACCTCCATTGTTATCAATGGAAGTCAGCAAATGTCCAACAGAGGACACTGAATAAAAGGACACCAAGTGAAAAGCTTTTTACTGGGAAATTATTTGTGTCGCATGGAGTGCGCCAAGCTGTAAACAACTGAGCAGGGAGATGTGGAAGACATTGGCATAAAACATTTATCAAAGCAATATAAACAAGGCCAAAAAAAAAATAGCATCAGTGATTCCTTATATAGCTGGCATCCGAAAGAAGCCGCCAAGCATCAATTTAGCCAACATCCCTCCCCTTTCATCTTGCTCCTGCAGAATCCAGAGCGGGACAGGACCATTTTGACTTGAGAGCCTGTAACCATAAAATATTGTACCTTGGTGAGCTTGTTTTGTAGCGTGGGTTGGGGAGGAGTGAATTCTTCCCAGAAGACTTCCAGAATTTAGGATTTGGGGTAGATTTGATTAATTCACTCCTAGTCAGACAAACATGAGACTGTAATAGGCAGTGTTTCTGGGTGAGGCTCACATAATAAACTTGCCAAGGTGTTGAACTTATTTGGAGGGTATGGTTCAACACTATTGTTTCTTTAAAGTGGCTTCATGGCCACACTGATGTGAAAACAACCAGACGTTACTGCAGGTATGGGTCAAATGCATCCCGTGGGCTCTATGAAGCTCCTGGGACCCACTTTTTTTGGCCTCGGAAAAGTGAGGCAGCTTAAGGTGGCAGCTAGAAAAGACGATGCAATTCTAGGCTGCATCCATAGGAGAGTAGTGTCCACATCAAAACAGGTAAAA